TGTAAAGGTCTTTTGTGTCCCTGGTAAGATTTATTCCCAAGTATTTTATTTTTTTGGTAGCTATTGAACATGGTTAGTTTTCAATAATGAGTTATCATCTAAGGACCTACACAATTTCATTTAATCCTCAAAGTGATTATGAAAACTGAGTATTATTCTTCCTGTTTAATAGTTTATGGTTAAATACATTTTGAGAATTTTCCCTACATGATTTGTCAAGGGTTTCCTATTTTGTAAAAAGTCATACTTTAAGGCTAAGGATTTAAAACAGATTTAATGAAGACACTCTAGTTGCATTTGCATTTCTTTGTATACTCATATTCCTGAGAAATTTGTACAAACACTAATTTACAACTAAAAGATGAGAAATTTCCTAGATACAAAACATTGTTACTTAGACACAAATACTATAACATATGTACATTCAGAAGTATTTCAAAATAAGAAATTGATTTTCTAGTATATTATCTGTAGAAACAAGTTAAGGTTAAGGAGTTAAGTAGATGATTCTAAGATAAACAGAATAAAAAATACATTATTTTTGATCTTCTACCAATTGAATACATTTTTTTTAAATGTTCACAAAAGCATGAGTCAGTGTATGTGCACTTAGCTTTTCTTGAAACAAGATGTTATCATAATCATCCTAAAGGAAATACATTATTTTGTGGAAATTTTTGGTGAAAACAGAAAAATGTTAAGGGGAAAAACAAAAGAAAACCTTCTTCATAATGGAAGGAAGGAAAAAAGAAGGGTAAAAGAGGGGAAGAAGAGAAAAATTTGAGATTATACTATTCACAGAAATCCTGGACAATCAAACAGGTTATGTTACAGTTGACAAAATAAATATTTTATAGAGAATCTAAAGTTGGGATAAATGTAAAATTACACCAAATACATAGAACCTTTATTTAATTTATAAGATAGATTAAATAAAGTTTCTGGAATGCATTCTTTCTAAAATAAATCTGGTCAGCATTTAAAACATGCTTGAGGAAAAAACATTTATCCTATTCCTGAATCTCCTTTTTAAATTATTCAAAAAACACAGACTGCAATTGCCTAAGGCAGAAGAGCCTATAATTTTGTGATGTAAATTTCTCTTTCAAAAAATTTTAAATCCAGCCCTTATTGGCTTACAATTTCACATCGCTGCAAGCACAAGCATCAATAAAATTCTCATGTAACCATCTATTTTCTCTATATATGATCCCAGGATTTAAGGCTGCATTTTCTTATCCTGGTCTTCTAGCCAAAGCTATGTTGTGGAGAGAGGATGTACAAATATACTTCCTGACACAGTCAAAGGAGACTAAACTGAACCTTAAACGCACGACATGGATGATTTAGGATTTTTGGTATATAATGTTTAAAACTGCATGCTATAAAAACTATAGCCAGAAAAATCACTGTTGGAAGAAATTGATATATAAAGTTTGTATGTTATTGTTTTTTCAAATTTTATATTATAAAGCAACTATTTTCCCATATTGTTAAAAATTCTTCAACATCATGACTTTTATATATAGACTATAACATTTTTTGGAGATTTACATGGTTTCTACCTATCTTTTATTATAAATAATGCTACAAGGAGATTCTTTGTACTTAAATCTATACATGTATATCTGAGTTTTAACTTAGGATAAATTCCTCAAAGTAAAATTATTGAGTCAAATAGTTAAGTATACATCATGCCAGAATATTCTCCAGAAAAGCTGTACTCCTCTTCCTATTCCTGCAGACGGTTTCCCAGAAATGAAGCACTGCATATTCCAGCTGAATGATGCTCCTGAAACAATAAGTTTCCCAGTATTTTTGACAATGCTGGGAATTATAATTTGAATAATAATAACAAAAAAAAACTTTGCCAAGGTAAATACCTTACATGTAATTTGCATTTCTCTTATTATTAATGCTGTCCATCTTTTTTACATTTATTTTTATGTATCTTTTGCTACAATTATATTTTAAGTTAAAATTTACATAGCAAATTAGGTTCCTATTTAATAATTCCTACACACATTTTTCAGTGATATTGGTTATATTTTTACAACATGTCATCATTCTCATTTATTCTATTCTGATTGTGCCATTCCCAGTACTCTAGTTTCCCTGCTCCCTTACCTTCTCATTTTGGCTTTTGAGTAATTTTTGATACCTGGTGTCCTATAGATGATTTTTAAAAGCAGCTTATAAGTCACAGGTGATATTCTTTATTTTATCAGCCAATCTGTTAATTTAGCTGGTCTCAAGGTCAGTTTAAGGTTTAAAGAGCATCTCAGTGACAGATTCAGGGAATCCTCTACTCTCAACCAGTCAAGTCTGGACTTTTTAAGCATCTGTGTTCTATGCCACATATTTCTCCCATTCTCTCAGGATCCATATGTTGTGGCCTTGATCAGAATGGTAGTGATAGCTAGGCACCATCTAGTTCTTCTGTTCTCAGGGTAAATGAGGCAGTGGTTTGTGCAGACCATTAACTCTACAGACTACGATCTTCTCTGGATCTTTGGTTTCTTTTTCCTCTTTTGTTCCAGACTAGCAGACACTAAGAGTTTTATCTTAGATGACTGCTTGCAAGCTTTTAAGACCCTAGATACTACCATATTTTCACATAAAACAATGCACATGTTAGGAATTTTTTTTTTTTTTCCCCCCAAATGAGCTCTCTCCCTGTGAGGTATTTTTGTAAGCATGCTAATTATTTTTTTTTATATGTGCCTGTAAAAACATTAGCAATCATGCTTCCAAAAATGCCTAATGGGGCAGAGGAGAGAGTGCAATTGGCAAAAAACAAAACAATGTGCAACATACACATTGTTTGCATAACCACACGGTACTCACCACACTAGGATGCAGAATATACACTTTGTGAACTACATTATGCCAATTAACTGAGTTATCTCACAAGACTATGGTCCTAAGTCCTCAAACCTAGCAAATCAGTCTCATGAGGTATTCAGTTATGTCTAAGAAGTATCTCTAACCGTGTCCCCTATGCATATCCTTCTTTGGTGAATTGGCTGTTTCATGTCTTTTGGCCAGTTTTGGTTGGAGTATCTGAACTGTCTGATTTGTAAAAGACTTTTTGTATTATTTGTATTATAATCCTTGTGAGTTCTAGTTTTTATTCATCAATTTCTCAACTCCCTTTCTTTTAAATTCATCATTATAGAAAATTTTGAACACATACAACAGTAGAAGGAATAGTACAGTGAGTTCCATGAACCTAGTCCCCAGGTTTAGCAATGATCAGTTAATCTCTATACTCTTTTGATTTAGATTCACCGAAGTTTTCTATTTTTGTTAACTGTACTATTTTTTTTTCTCTTAATTTCTTCTTTTGTCTTTAGGCTTAGAAGGACTCCCTCACTCTCAGATATGGCCATTTATCTTCTTAGTACAGTATTTTAAAGTTTTCTTTTTTAAATTTTATTATTTCACTTGAAATTTATTCTGGCTTATAGTGAGAGGTGAGCATCTAACATACTTTTTTTTTGTCAACAGTTAACAGTGACAGCATCACTTATTAAATATATTTCTTTCCTTACTGGTGATATTTCAAACCAGTGTATTACTTCTTAGAATCCATAAGCGGCCAAACAGTTGTCAACTGGAGTCTGCTCATAGATGACTTAGAAGACGACTTTTACAGCCAACTATTAGAAGAAAGGCTTGATGACCTACTTTAAAGAATCACCACTGAAAACCCTCCAGAGCATAGTTCTGCTCTGACACACAGGGGGTTACAATGAATCAGAGTCAACTTGATGGTAAACTGATGGCTACTTCCAGTTTTTCTAGCCTTTTAAATTGATTAGTATATTCCTGTGCCAGCACTACAATTTTAGTTATTTAGCTTTAAAACAGATTTTAACAACTGACTTAAAAAAAATGCTAAAATTAGAATCAGTTCCTACGTAACTTACCTCACTGCACTTTTTAACAACATCTGACCCAGGCACAGCATTAAGAAGAGCAATAATAAGGTAACGATTTAGCAGCTTCCCCAGTCCAAGCTCTTGCAAGGCCTCATCTGGGAGGAGTCCATTCCAAAGAAGAATATTGCGGAAGAGCTAAAATAAAGTATCACATAAATACGTACCCTTTTCCCAAAGGGAAATTGTATTAATCTCCAAAATCTTAAAAGCTGGTCAAGCACTTTATACTCTCACTACAATTAGCCCTGGTGGAACTGCCAATTTTAGTATGAATACAAAATACCATTTCTGAATAAATACCTGATTATTTATCACCTTCAAATATTTGCTCATCTTATTTTAATTTTCTAGAATAACCACTCAAAATGCATCTGAAATAATGTTACTGAAACCCTTCCAGAACAATTTTTCTTCCCCTAATTCAACTCCCAGAGCTCAAGGCCACTGGGTGCAAGATCAAAAGACCCCAGGATTCATAAAAGGCCACCGGCAAAGCCAGTGCTACTGTTACCAATGTGTGACCTGGAGAAATCAATCAATACTGAACATTTCATTTCTTTGATATATAAAATAAGATTAATAATAACCTGTGAATTTGGCTATAACCTGGGTAAATACTCATAATAAATTTTAATAAGCATTGCTTGCCTCTTCCTCCTGTAAACCCAGGACTTCCTGTGTATTTTCTGGTTTCCTACTTTCTTCCCAGCACTACACTATCACTCTTAGTGCTGAACCACATGCCACTTTATTGACAAGCAACTCTTCTTCACATTTTTTCTTATTGTTTGTATTGCCCCCTCTTCCTGGAAAACCTTTTCTCTGACTTAACTACATGGCAAATATCAATTCACTCCACTGAAACCATTCTTGCTAATTTTAAGTCACCTATGACCTTCTAAGGAGCTCTGGTAGCATAGTGGCTAAGGCACTTCTAAGTGCTAACCAGAAGGCTGGCGGTTCAAACCTACCAGCGACTCCTCGGAAGGCAGATGGGGCAATCTACTTCAGTAGTGATACTGCCTTGGAAACCCAAGGAGGGGTTGCTATGAGTTGGGTTCGACTCGATGGCACATAACAACAACAACAACATGACCTTCTAACTGCCAAACCTATTAAATGTTTTCAGGCTTTCTCTTATTCTCTTTGGTGATGCGCATATTGTCTTTGGTGATGCTTAACACTCTTGTCTTCATTTTTGAAAATTCTTCTCTTAGCTTCCCTGAAGCTAGTCTCTTATAACCACTTTAAGGCAGATACCTTAGAAGATTTCACTTTCTCCGTCCACCTCTCATGTCAGTGTTTCCCCAAATTCTTTCCTTAGCCTTCTTCTCACGCTTCACACAATCTCTTCAGAAGTGTCATTCATGCCCATGGCTCCAAACACTGTCTAAATGGGCTGACTGCCAAATCTCCAGCTCACACCTGTTTCTTGAAATTCAGAGTCATATATTCAATTGACTCCTAGACATCTACACCTATATATTCTATAGATATCTTCAACTCACTATGTCTAAAACAGTCTCACCTTCCCTCTCAAACCTGTTCTTCCTGTATCTCCTCCAATGTCTACAAATAATGCTACCATTAAGCTAACCTGGCTAACACCCTACATTTCTCATATGTAATTAATTAATCATTGTCCTTTCAATGCTTTATCCTAAACAGCTTTTGATTCCATCTTCTTATCATCCCCATTATCAAAGACTTACCCAATGATTTTATCCTTTATCTTTGAGATCAGGGTTGCCCAACTATGGCCTATGGGTTAAATGCCTGCTTCCTGTTTTGATAGGGCTCACAAACTATGAATGATTTTTATATTTTTAAGTCATTGAAAAAAAATGGCAGTAGAATTGTTGTTACTTGTGAAAGTTATGGGACATTCAAGTTTTCAGTGTTCATGAATACAGTTTTATTGGAACATAGCCATGAGCATTTGTTTATGGCTTCTTTTGTACCCAGTGGCAAAGCTGAAGAGTTATGACAGAGATGATGTGGTCTGTAAAACCTAACACATTTCCAATCTGATCCTTGTAAAAATATTTGCAGATTTCTTCTTTATAGTAAACTGGATTTAGAAAAAGAAAAAGAAAAAAAAAAAAAAAATCCCCTTGCCCCACCCCCAGTTTCCTGCTTACCTTCAGACCTGACCAGAATTGTCTTTCTTGGAACTTTGAATGTGGTGATGTTTTGTTTTCTACAGCACTAATTTTAAACAAAGGAAAGAGAAAGAAGAAAATGCAAAGAATCATTGTAGTGCCTAAGATATATGACTGCTAACCAGAAGGCTGTTGGTTCAAACCCACCAGCCACACCTCAGAAGAAAGCTTGGGCAATCTACTTCTGTAGTGATAACCCCTCGGAAACCCAAGGAAGGGTTGCTATGAGTCAGAATTGACTTGACAGCAATGAGTTTGTTTTGTTTTTTGTTTTTTTTTGGTTTAGAAATTAAAAAACTGGATTTTTTTAGCAACAAAATAGACTTAATGGTACATAAGTGAAGGTGCTGATGATACCTGGTGATATCTATGAAAATTACAAATACATGTACACTCTGACTCAATAGTTGCATTCTGGTAATACCCCATGGATATACTTGCACACATACAGAATATATGTACAACATTCATAACATACTTGTTGGTAATGGAAACTACTAACATGTTCATCAGTCACCCTTACATACATACATACATGTTGTTGTTGTTATGTGCCGTCGAGTCGGACCCGACTCATAGAGACCCCTCCTTGGGTTTCCAAGGCAGTATCACTACGGAAGTAGATTGCCCCATCTTCCTTCCACATACATACATACATACATACATACATATACACACACACACACACACACACACACTCTGCCATTGAGCTGACTTTGACTATAGCAACTCTATAGGACAGAGTAGGTTGTAATTAGTAGGCTGTAATCTTTGTGGAAGCAGACTGCCACTTCTTTCTTTTGTAGAGTGGCTGGTAGGTTTGAACCATTGACCTTTTGGTTAGCAGCTGAGTGCTTAACCACTGTGCCACCATCAGTTACAGTACATCTATATTATAAAATATTATGCGGGTTGAGAAAAAGGTTCAGAAAAAGGTTGAAAAAACTACTTAAAGATGACATGAAAAGATCTCAAAGATTTACTAAGTGAAAAAAGTATGGTATAAAAAAAATCACTGGTTCCAACCATTTACAAGATACATCCTTTTCTACAGAAAGCAAGGGAAAAATAAGATAGCAATTATCAGCATTAACTTGTATTTGCACAAAGAAATTCCAAAAAGGTTGGGGGGGGGAATAAAACCAGTGATGATTATTGCTTGTGCAAGTATATACACAAGGGGGAAGGGCTGACACTAGGTAGATAAAAGTCAGGAATGGGAGGGAGTAAGACTTTTCATTTTAAATATAAATAAATAAAAAGTAAACACCTTTGAAACATGTACACGTATTCCTTATCCAAAAAATTAAAAAACAAACAAATCTTACCAGAATTTTTACTTGCAGATATCTCTTCATGATTTAAAGTGTTAAATCTATCTATTTCTCCTCAAAAAGATTACCAGCTGCCATTGTATTGACCCTGACTCATGGTGACCCCTGTGTATCAGAGTAGAGCTGAGCTCCACAGCGTTTTCAATGGCTGAATCTTTCAGAAGTAGATCACCAGGCTTTTCTTCTAATGCGCCTCTGAGTGGACTTGAACTACTTACCTTCTGGTAGGCAGTGAGCATATTAACCACTTGTACCACTCAGGTATTCCACTCAGAAACCTTAAGGTTTTTTTTTTTCCCTCCATTCCACAAAGCTCTTTCATCCTATGAGGAATACTCACTGGATAACTATACTTCATAAACAGTTACACTATAAATAGATGCTTTCTTAGCAACTTTATGAACATTTATCAAATACTACTGTTTCCTAATTTAAAGTGAATACAGAATTCATTGACACAGTTTCTGGCCTAATGCTGTGTTGCTTCTGTGCCAGGTCTGTTCTGTTCTCAACTTGTTCTTCATCCTCGTAACAGCCTATGAGATAAGCACTGATTTTATTTCCATTTTTCAGATGAGAAAACTGACACATTGAGAGGCCCAAGGTCAAATGGTGGGTCCAGTCTCCAGAATCTGTGTTCCTAACCATGCTGCTATGTTCCTAACCATGCTAACACCTCCTATGTTCCTATGATACTATGGAAAAAAAATATGTCCAGCAAGTGCTAAGTACCACTCCTGGCACAGAGCAGGTGCCTCAGAAATATTTGCTGAGAAATCAATTTGAATCTTGACAGAATATATGTAGGCTTTGAAAACACTTAGTTTCTTTTTCATTATATTTTCAAGCAAATCTATATGATATAATTAGCGATTTCAACCAATCTAAAAAATTAATAGCTCTTACCTCTTTGGATACAGAGGAATAAAAACATCATCTTCGATTGCCTTCTTTATTCTTGAAACAATGGATTTAAGTAAGCCCTAGAATTGAAAATTTGAAAAGCATAATTATAGTCATAGGTAAACATATGTTTAATAAAAAAAAGTCATTTTAACAGTAGTGGAGGTTTGTACATGCTCACAAAATCTGGTGTTAAAATAACTATTAATTGGTATGGTGTGATGAATCGCTTTTATATGGCCTTTCTTGCCATGGTCCTGACTCTTACAGAATAACTGTGTGGGACTATGCAAATAAGGGGCTTGTGGCCCACCATGGGGGTTGCTGGACTGCTTGCTAATAATGCAAATAATGTGCATGGAATTTATGTGGGGGTGGGACCATGCAAATAAGGTACATGGAACCCTAATGAAGGGATTGGTCAGTATTCCCTTACTGCTAGGCTTAAAAGACTGCCAATCCCAGAGCAGAGGGGGACCTCATTACCTCAAAGAAAGAAAAGTCAGGAGTGAGGCAGGTACTTTAGACCTGTGGTCCCTGTACTGATAAAGTCATTAGCTAAGCTAGGCCATTAATTAATAAAAGTTTTAAGTTCTTTTTCTGGGTTTAAAAAAAAAAAAGGGAAACAACAACAACAACAACAAACTCTTTTGTTTTACTCTACTTCTTCAACACTTTGAATTCTGTTCAAAGAAAAAAACAATAATGTCCTAGACAACATATTCAAAGGAATATCTGAGCTTATGTAAATCACTGTGTTTGTGTTAGGGAAAAAAAAGCTGTGCTTTGATTTTTTTCCTTTAATTTAAATAGTTGTGAATGCTAGCCTTGACACACATTTCCATATTGTTTAAATTTTTGTTTCTTAAAAATAGTTTTTCTTAACAATGCTATGAAAGATATTGAGTCAACTGACAAAAGTAGATTATGGATGGTAGACAAACATTAAGTTTACTGAAGTTGACAACTATACTATAATTATGTAACACAATATCCCTATTCTTAGCAAATATGCATCTTACCATCAAATTATTCAGAAGGAAAAAAAAATGTCATTTGTATATATAATGAGAAAGCAGATTATAAAGGAAATGGAGCAAAATATTAATAAGTGAATCTGGGTAAAGGGTACACTGGTACACTATTTTTATTCATGGAATGTCCTGTAAGTTTGAGATTAACTACAAATAGTTTTTAAATAGAACAAACCCAAAAACTCACACATTTTAAAACAATTTTGAGTTCATTAACTTGTTCCAAGTATTAAAATGCCTTTTTTATTTGTTGAAAAAAATAAAGTTCTTCAAACAGTAAAGTTTAACAAGCATTCTGAACTACACTTTGAGACTTGCATACACCCCCCTCCACCCCCCGTGTAAATATGCTTTAAAATAGCTTTGCAAAGGCACTTATAAGCCCTAGACAGTGGTTTTCTCTGTATGTCCATGTATGGCACTGTTTTTGGGGTGCTCAGGGAGAACGAGGGCAGGTATTTTCCACAGCAGGAACACCTTTGCTTGTGTGCGTGTGTGTGTGTATTGGGTTCTGTAAGATTTTATTTCAAAAAGGTATTGTTGATAAAAATGGAAGGCTGAAAACCACCAATCTACTTCAATACCTATCTGATGCTTGGATTCATTTTCACAACTCCAGCAAATTGTCACTCAAACTACACCTAACAATATTTACCTATCTCCTGAGGCCACTTTGGGCAGTTCTTGACTATTACATTCAATTTAGAAATGAAGAACAAACTTTTCTCTCAAATAAACTTCTCTCCCCCATTGCTTCTTCCATTCCTTGGTCCTAGTTTATCCTGCAGGATGATACAAAATAAACCTAACCCCCATTTCATGACAATCCTTCAGGTTTTAAGATTGTGATCACATTTTTCCTGTATCTTCTCTTTCCCATTTTATCTTAGTTGGCACTCTCCACTTCATATGCTTACACCCAGTATTAAATGCAACATTCTCAGGGAGGTCTAATCTGTGGGTTGTTGTTGTTGTCATGTGCCATCGAGTCGGACCCTACTCATAGAGACCCCTCCTTGGGTTTCCGAGGCAGTATCACTACGGAAGTAGATTGTCCCATTTTCCTTCCGAGGAGTGGCTGGTGGGCTTGAACCGCCAGCCTTCTGGTTAACAGTCAAGGCCGTAGGGACTACGCTACCAGAGCTTCCAAATCTGTGGGTAGAGAGCACTCAAAACAGCACACATCTATAAAAGGATTAACTCCTGTTAGTCCTTCAAGTGACACTGTTGATTCCTATTTGTTATAAGCTCTTTCTATCCTAGCTATGATGCTTCAAAACTTTCATTTATGTAGTTAACTTCTGAACATGAAGATCGGATATATACTTTAATTCCTTTTAAATTTCATCACATGAGAGTTAATTCATTTTTCCAGTCTTCCAAAAAACTTTCGGATTTTAATTCTGCTATATATAAGTCTGTGACAGAAATCTTGGTATTTTCCCATAGGCAACTTAAATTAGCATGCGTTTTATAGCCTCATTCAGTTCAATACAAATACTGAATAGAGTAAAACTGGAAAGATATCTAAAGCTAAGAGACCCCACATAGTAGCCACATTTCTTAGTCAGTATTCTTTAGGTACAATCTACTAGTTTCTATTTATCTAATTATATAAATGGTAATCTTATCTTTCCCTTTCTACTCCAATAAGAACACCATAAAACTCAAACCAAACCAAACCCATTGCCATTGAGTCGATTCTGACTCATAATGACCCCCACTGGGTTTCTGAGGTGATAAATCTTTATGGAAGTAGATAGCCCAGTCTTCCTTCCATGGATGGCTGATAGGTTTGAACTGTCAACCTTCTGGTTAGCATGCATTTTGGTTACCAGTCAAATGCCTTAAGCACTGTGCCACTAGAGCTTCTTACATAAGATAGTTAAATACTCTGTACTTGTATTACATATCCCTTATTTATCACTGAAAATACATGAGATAACTATTTGAGAATTTGCTTTGATAAACAAATGTTAAGTATCATTTGTATTTAGGTATCCTAAATTAGATTATAGTAATCACGGCTTTCTTCCTTTAAGCATTCCTAATCCTCCATACTTCAGAATCTTTAGCACCTTAAATAGAATCAAAATCAGGCACTAGCATACAGAACGTATTTACTTCTTACTTTTAAAAACTAGAACTATGCTGCCTGACTCCATTCTTCTACAATCTTTCTCATTCTTTTCAATTCCTTATAAGTCACTGGAAAAAAAAAAAATGATTTCACTGAAAAATCAAGAGTGATTTCACTGAAAAATTGTCTAGTAACCTAGAATATCATGTGGTCCAATGATTCTCAACTGGGGATGATACTGTCCTTTGAGAAGCCATTCTGCAATTTTGGAAACATTTTTGGTTGTCAAGACTGGGGGTATACTACTGGGATGCTGCTAACTGTCCTAAAATGCACAGGCCAAACCTTCTTCTTGCCCCACCCCATCCCACAACGAAGACTTAACCGGTACAAATGGCTACAGTATCAAGGCTGAAAAACCCTGATGTAGTCCGGCCTCCTACTAATGTTATAGAACCTACAAAGCGGAAGGGCTTCCAGAATAAAAAACTCCAGTATAAAAACTTCATGAGTGGATCTATAATACTGGTGAAAGGTTTCAGTGATTACAAATGCCAGGCCTGACATTTAGCATCCAAATGCTTTTTGATAAGTAGCTTGGTCCTTCTGGGCCCCAGCATCTTCAGCTATAAAATGTAATTAACATTAACACGTTTCACAAGGTAGTGATGATCAAATGAAAAAAATGTAAGTATTTTATAAATGGCAAAGTACTATCTATTTACATTTAGGTTATAATAATATAATTCTATAGAGAGAGCAAATACAGAATTACATGCTTGCTTTGTATATGTTATTTACTAACGCTCCTTCTATGCTCTGTAACAACACAGAATATATCTTATTCCTTCTTTGGATATAAGCACTATCTTCTCACACATCTTCTTTTCTTAAGGTTAAATATCTATAATTCCTCCAGTGGTTTTTATGTATCTTACATGTATTTTTATCCTGTTGGAGATAGTGGAAAATACATTCTTTTTCCATCAATGGCCATATATTCAAATCTTATCCTTCAAGTCCTAGCTCAAATGTCACCTCTAACATAAATTCTTTCCTTATTTCCATGTTAAAAGCAATTTCTCTCTTGTGCCTCTTTTTGAACTTTCATAGCACTTTATCTGTGCTTTTCACAGGGAAATAATGTGGTCAGAGATGAATTCAGGATTTAGGGTCAGACTAAACAAGGTTCACATCCTAGTTTTAAGTCATGGTGTTAATGTGGACAAGTTTTCAAGACTCAAGTTACTTCATCTATAAAATGAAGGTACCACTTATTTTTAATAGGACTACCAGGAATAAATGAGATGACAAAGGTATAAGATCTAACAGAGCATCTAGTACTTAACTGGAATTAAGTAAATAGGTATTCCTTATCTTCCCTGTTTGTCCTCCCTTTTCTCATTTTCTGTTTTAAATGATAGCTTACACATATCTTATTTCCTCTAGTGATATGCTTCTTGAAAGCAGAATCAGTCTGGTATCCTTCTTTTCCTTCTTACTTCTCCTTACAGCCTTCTTCCTTCATAATCCCAATTATAAATTCTAAAATTTAATGGTATTCATATTTTGAGTATGAGATGCCATCTTGATTTTCAACCACTGTAGTCATTCTACCCTAGTACTTTGCAATCTGTCAATTTCTCTATTAATTTACTTAAAGCTCAACGTAATAGGTTTACTTATTTGACCATATGAGTATATAACATTCTCAACAACAAACAGGAAATTAAAAAAACAAATACCACAATGAAAGTAGGATTCACTAGATTCTCAGCAAGGCCTCTGTATAAAGTTCTTCTTTATATCTTATATTCAGTAAACTCAATTCCAGATGACTGTAAAATGAAAATCAATCCTACTGGACTTTAAATTCTTAAGGAAATTACTGCTCTCAACTTTAGCAGAATACCAGTAACTAGATTATATAGTAAATGTGAGCCTAATTTTGAAATCATTTTTAAAGCACATGCCACTAAAATTTTGCCAAAACACCAGTGGCAATGAGTTTTGTTTTATTCTGTTTCTTTTTGAAGGGATGAATTTGCACTAATGCATTTATGTTTGTTCATCTTTGCAGGGCCAATATATATTCATAAACCTGAAAGATGGTTGGATGGGTTGTGAGAACATGCCTGAGACCATTCAACAGAGAGAAAGCACCAATAAGAATCAAAGGTGTAATGGGGGCCTTAATACATATGTGTATATATCCTTTCATTAATAACAATTACCTCTCTTGTTACAGTGTTCAGAAATATCAAGGCTCACTCTTGTTCTTTTATTACAATAAGAAGGAAAACATGGTCAATCCTAGCTTATTTCAATCCCATAGAAATCTGTTTTTCTCCAAATGGTTTCTTGTAAGTACTTCTTCCGCATCTTCTATTAAGAAAGGTTTGTAAAAAACAAGTTACAATAAATCAAGAAGTTCATAACTCTAGAAAATGCTACCTGCTTGCCTTTACTTACTTCATTTTCACAAGTTGAATGCTCTTCAAGAATCATCCTGCAGTGTGTTATTAAACTTGTTGTCTGTGAGGTTGACAAGGGATCCCAAATGAATTCCACAAAGTCTGAAACAAGTATTTCAGGGATGCACAATTTATTTACTACATTGTTTTTGCCTGTCACATGCTTCTGACAATATCTCCCATCTCTGAAAACACTATCTGCCCTGGGATTTTATCACATTATACTCTTTAAACATGTTCATGTCAGTTACCACAAGAAGCCAAAGACACTCAGGCTTCACACCCTGGATTCTTATCTGGAACATTGTCTTTTCTCACCTCATCTTCTCACCTCTCACTCCTGAAACCCTCCCACCAAGCCCTCTGGAAATGAAATGGTCAATCATCAGCAATCCCCCATTTTCTCATCTTCTGCTGGTGTGCCTCCTTTGCCTTTTTACCCTAACTGAAGCTGTCTCTCCCTGATGCCAATGTTTCCTTTGCCACCTTTGTCACAGACAATCCTTTTCTGTCCTATATCCTTCATACCCGGAAGTGAGGTATATATCTTCCGTATTGCTCATTTCTTTCCTTCTCAAAATAACTGAGTTTATAATCTCACAGCAGCAGACTATGACATACTACCTCAACCTGATGAAGTAGTCTTCACACTGGAGAACACTCCCTTTTATCCCCTGATGATTATCAACTTCTGGGACTCTGGCACTCTCTCCAACATGATTCCTAAAATAATTCTTACCATTTCAAAATGCATCAGATAACTGTTCCAGTACTCTGGCCTCTCAGGTCGCTGATCACCACTTTTCCAATAACTGCATGCTCCATCCTTCCTCAGCCACTCACTCCCATGGTTGTGCTTTATACCTTGTCATTACCAGTAACTGGACCCCTCTGTAATTACAGTTTCATACACCTTGCTTGATATTAACTACCTCCTATCTTTTCAGCTCATTCCCTCTAGTAGCTCTACTCTACTTCGGCCCTATCAGGACCTATAATCTATGGATCCGATCACCTTTCCACAGTCTTCACTTCTAGCATCAACTCTTTCCCTCCTTATTTTGTTTAAAATTCATGGTCAGTCATTACAATTACCTATTTGCATACACTGACAATTCCCTTGCCTCTCTTGGACTTTACTGAATTTGCCTGACTAAACTACAACCTCAGTCAAATCTATCTTGTTACTGAGTTTGTGCCTGCAATCATGCAGCTGAACTGTGGCTGAAGGTGATGACTACTTTATATTTATCACCATGAAACTCAAGCAAGCCCTTAATGCTATCTAGCAGTTATACTGTTTCCCTGGCCCATTCACTCTCCTCTCACCTAGATAATTATTTCACACCTTTTCTCTCCTCCTTGCTCTCACTCTCAGGTGATGGACTGACTTTTCTACATGACTCTTTCATACATTCTCCTTTCTCCTCACTCTCATTCTCGACTGCTCATCTACTTCCTAACTTGATGAGAAAACAGAAACAATCAGAAGAGAGGATCCTCAAGCTCTGACCATAATAGCTACGCATCTACCTGCTATGCCCATATGCTCTTAGTTAGCTTCTGCTCCTATGTTGAAGCACCCATGCTCCTAGCTAAGGCCAATCCTTTCCTTTGGCATGAGATTCCAACCCCTTTGGCTTCCTTGCTCCAGCAACTGTACCCTCTCACTGTGGCATCATCATTTTCACTTCTACTGGAGCTTTCCCATAGGCCTACAGACAAGATGTTATCTCTCTTGTTTGAAAAAGAATTCCTCTCTTGGGCCTACACACCCCCACTATTGCCCTTGCTCCATTTCTCTCCATCCTTTTTTTTTTTTT